ACCAAAAAAAAAAAAAAGAAGTCCAAACCAGAATGCACTATGCCACCAGGGTTCACTACGGATTTTTTTCCCTGTCTAAAAATTCAAGTGGAAACTTGAGAAGAGAATTCACTATTCTCTTTTTTTTTTAAATGAATGTAGAACATGAAGAAAATCACTCCAGGTCAACAAATTTTGTTAATAAGCCTCCTTGATCCCCCTAACGGAAATATATTGGCATAACTTACCCATTTGGTGCTATTTACGGTCCTGAATCGAAGTGTGTAGTTTAATGTGGCTGACACAGGTGCTAATACAGGTCTTCTCCATTTTATCTGAACCATTTGCTTAACACCCAAAATTGGGTTCACATCATAAATTTTGAGTGGTTCAATTTTCACTGAAAATAAAAATCATACTGTTTTCATTATCCAAAAGGATAAAAGGCAAGACCCACCCAAAATTAAAAGGAAAAAGGGTTAGATAAGAAATGAGAGTGCATTTCGTGTGGCCCACAATATGCAGGTGGTATAGGAAGGCAAAGCAAACGCAGATGTTCAATGAAGATAGCACATGTTCTGAAAGTTTTTCAAAATCAGTATCCTACTGGTCTGATCTGATCTAGGGAGCTTTGGTGGCCTAATGGTAAGAAGCTGCTCTGTAATCCCAAAGGCACACGGTTTGAATCCACCAGCTCCTCCGAGTAGAAAGATGGTCTATCTCCTCCCATGCAATTAACTGCCTCTGAAAACCTGCTGTCAGTTCCAACTTGATGGTCCACATAAACAGCAGATCAGATCAGATCAGATCAGATCAGATCAGATCAGATCATATTCTATGTCAAGAAGGAGGGACTCATGTACTTTTAATTTGTTAGTTAAATTTGTATCTTCTAGGCTGCAACAGTTCCATGATGCATCTTCAAGGATGTGAACATGTATGGCTAAGCACAATTGATAACAGTGCATCTAAATTCCAAAATCAATCTCCACAATAGTCTATGTATTTCCTATTGCCAGAGGGGCCCTTTAGAGTAGTGAGAGAAGATCTTCACCCTGAAACCTACAGCATTCCTTTTCAGCAGGAAGTAGCTAAGAGAATACGCTGTCCCCTTTCCCTTATGAATCAGGGTGAAGTCTCTCTCAGAGAGGAGTGATAGGGAAAGGCAAAGGACACACTGACAGAGGAGCTTAATCAGAACTGGTTTTGACAAGCACTGTGGCAATGGGACAATTAAAACAGACTTTCAAGGGGGGGGAAAGAAGAACAAAATGGGGAGAGGGGTAGAGAAAATAGTGCAACAATGAATGAATGGAAATCCAAAATCTTTGTAAATGTTCATAAAAAATTAATAAAATAAAATAAAATAATGTATTTAAAAAAAAAGGAGGGAAATAAAAGGGAGCCTTAAGACTTGGTCAAACTTGAATGTCTTTTGTGTTCCAAAGAATACTCTAAAGGAAATAGATAGCTGACCAAAACAAAGGGAAAATATTTGAAAGTCATAGCTCTTGAGGTCAGTGGGAAAGAGCACTGCCAACTCAAAGGCAGGTAGTTCGGAGGCACCAGAAGTTCTTAGGGAAAAGAGGGGCAACTTCCTTCCAAGCATTTTACTGTCTCTGAAAACCTACTGCAGGGTCAGCTATGAATTGATTCTGACTCAGAGCATAACAACAATATCTGATAAGGAACTTGTATTAAGAATACAAAAGAAAAGGGAACTCTGGTAGTTTAGTGATAAGAAGCTACATTGCAGTCCCGAAGGTTTGCAGTTTCAATCCAGCAGATGCTCTGCTGGAGAAGGAAGGGCTATTGCCTCCTGTGCCAGTTAGATCTGATTCGACAGCACACAACAAGTAAAACCCTAAACTAAAAAACACCCAGAATACAAAAGGGGAAAAAAAACCCACCAACTCTAGCTTCTAAAGATCAGCAACAAAAAGTTAAATCACTCAATTTTAATATGCACAAACGATCTGAATAAATATCCATATATTGTCATTGTTATGTACTATAAAGTCAGAACCAATTCATAAGTGACCCATCAGCTGGTTTTTCAGAGGCAGCAATGGGAATAACACCCTTTGGATTTGATTCTACCACTGAGTCCACAAATGCCTGTTTTCATACAGAATGTCTTCTAATAAGAGATTATGTAAGGATATCAAATAACTCTTACCTATGTTATCTAAGGTCCACACTGTTGTATCAGACTTACTGATGCCATCTTTATTTTGAGCTTCCACCTCAATGATGTAAACATCTGGGTATGTAACTCTTGGATGGAAAAAGGAACACGAAGCACGATTTTTACTTGTACAAATATCGCTTTTATTTTGGCTTTGGAAAGGAAAAAAAAGTGATTCAACGTAAGTTTTGTACAGCAGTTTGGCAACATAACTGTACTCAACGTACAAAGCTTTTTATTTGCTAGTTAACACCCCATGTTTCTCTGATGATTCTACAGTTCAGGATTTAGATTAGTCTCTCCCAATTCCTTACTTTCAAGGAGAATGGAGATAGTGAGTGAGGTAGCAGGGCTGAGACCTAGACAGGGGCCCATTGTGCAGGGTGCCAGTATTTGCTTGAACACGTGGATAAACGGACTCTTGGAACCAAAAGAAGCCTCAAAGATTTCCTACTCTTATTGTTAGAAGAAATATTGACCCTCTGGGTCATGATCTACAATGGTTTCAAACGCAGCAGCTCTGGAGACCCATTAGGTATGAATTCTATCTTTGCCTTTTATGAACTCTCTGCCTTGGGTAAATATCTTACCTCTGCACCCTAGTTTTCCCATCTATAAAGTGAAGCTAATAATGTGCTTGTAACACAGGGTGGTCCCTGAGGGTTAAAAAAAATTAGTCCATGTTAAGCAGTTTAAAAATGGTAGGCACCCCATGGGGGTATAAGTAGTTAAGAAATAGGAGATATTATTATTACTGTTAATGAGGTTGAAAATATTTGTGTTTACTCATGCTGTAACCTTGCTAAATACTTTCTCTCCTTCCCCACGTGTGCAGATCTCCTTAGAGTCTGAGGTGAAAAGCCAAGTCCCTTCATGAAGATATATCTAACTCTCCCTCTTCTTCCTCAAAGCCATAGTATATCCTTTTGTTTTGAGCATCCATAGATTTTTGTTCTTAACACTATTGCACCCTATCCACAGAGAAACCCTAATATTCTACTTGGAGTAGGTGATAAATTCACAAAAACAAACCAGTCGGGGAGTACTAGGAGTCTAGGGATGCCTGATTCTAATGTTCTAAGGCATTCTACATGCTCAGCTGGTAAAAATAATGACAAGCCATTCAGATGAAGGAGAAAATAGAAATATATGAGTAAACCAATTAAAGTTTCCAGGTTTTCATTCTATTACTACTTCTTCTTCAGCATTGGGCCTAGAATTAAGAAGTATGTGAAAAGACAAGTCATTTGGATCGTGCATTATTGGGCCTTAATCATCCTTATTATTATTATTTTTTTTTTAAAGAGTAAACTGTAACTTAAAGATCACCATTTGGGTTTGTAATGGCCTTCAAGCTTAGAGAGGGAGCTCTGGTGGCCTATTAAGTAAGGAGTTGCACTGCCAACCCAAAGTCAGGTGGTTTGTGTTCAACAGCTGTTGCAAGGGAGAAAAATGAGAAATCTCCTCTTGTCCTGTTTACAGCTTCTGAAATGTCACCCAGACTCTACAATTGAAAATGCCTTTTATTTTATGAATGACTCCAGTCATGGTAGAACCAAGAACCTCTCTTTCCTCTTTTAACTCCCAACTGATAGCACACAAATTTATGTAACTTACTGATAATTTCTCTTAACTGTGTACCATGTGTCATTGGCTTCCTTTTTTGGGCTCCACGTACAAGTGAAATTATGCCTGTAGTAGTAGATGCAAGAAATGTTCTCAGGCTTATGTGGTGGAGCTGAGAAAGGAAAAGAAAGAAAACACTATTTCAGTATAGGATCAATACTGTCACCATGGGATATTTTTAGGAAAATTAGATATAATTTGCTGTTATCACTGGGTGCCATTAACAAATCAAATAGATTCCAATTTTCAGCAACCCTATAGGACAGAGTTGTTCTTGTTATGTGCCATCAAGCCAAAACTCACTCACAGTTGGCTCTCCAGCAGGTTTTCAGAGGCTGCAAATCATGCTGGAGAAAAATGCCCATCTTTCTCCCTCTTTCAAGGACAAAGCAGTACTATCCTATAGGGAACTCTGGTGGCCTAGTGGATAAGGAGTTGCACCATCAACTCAAAGGCAAGTGGTTTGAATTCACCAGCTGCTGCATAGGATAAACATGAGTAATCTCCTCATACCCAGTTTATAACTTCTGAAATGAGTATCCTCAAAGACTTAATTGTGTCCACAGGAAATTTACACATAGGCCAAGAAGTATTTGTATGAACAGAGCAAGAAAAGACTATTGTTGTTGTTGATTGCCTTTGAGTTGAGCATGACTCATAGCAACCCTGTGAACAAAAGGCCTGGAGCCCCTCTACAACAATCGACAAGTTCATAGAGTTTCCAGAGGCATGTTGTTTAGGAAGTGGATGCCATTCCAAGGTAGCATTCTTTCCCTTCATCTATTCAATCTGTATGCTGAGCAAATTATTCAAGCTGAAAAAGAATGACATCAGGCCTGAAGGAAAACTCAACAATCTGTGTTATGCAGATGACACAACTTGGCTTGCAGAAAGTGAAGAAGACATGAAGAGCTTGCTGCAGAAAATCAGACACTACAACCTTCAATATAGATTACATCTCAACATCAAGAAAAGAAAAATTCACACCACTGGACCAAGAGTCAAGGCCATAATAGATGGAGAAAAGATTGAAGTCAACAATTTCATTTTACTTGGATCGACAAACAACACCCATAGTAACAACAGTCATGCAATCAAAAGATATATTGCACTAGAAAAATCAGCTATCAAGGACCTCTCCAAAGTAATAAAGAGCAAAGATATCAGTTTAAAGACTAAGTTGTGCCTGATCTAAGTCATGGTATTTTTCTTTCGCTTCCCGTGCAAGAAAGTTAGACAATGAATAAGGATGTCAGAAGAAGAACTGATGTCTTTGAATGTGGTGTTGGATAAGAGTAATGGATTGCCAAAAGAATAAACAAATCTGTCTTGGAGGAAGTGTGATCAGGTGCTTCTTAGAGGCAAGGACAGCAAAACTGTATCTCACATACTTTGGGCATATTGTCAGAAGATGTCTATCTTTGGAAAATGACAGTATGCTGGAAAAAGTGGAGGCTCAGAGAAAGAAACGACCTTGAACAAGATGGACTAACACAGTGTCTATAACAAATGGCCCAAATATATCAGAGATCATAAAGATGGTATAGGACAGGTCAAGGTTCAGATCTGTTTTCACAGGGTTGCTGTCAATTGTCGTCAACTCAGTGGTACCTAACAACAAGAACAACAGGGAGAAAGCAGAATTATTATAATCAGAATCAAATAATTAGAATTATTCCAGTAACAAATAAGAGTAAGGGAGAACTGAGGCACAAATGGAGATTTGAACACCAGTGTTCATGGGAGCATTATTCACTAACACAAGAACATGGAAACAGCCCAAATGTCCAACCATAAATGAATGGATTGAGAAATTATGGTGCATTTACAAGATGGAATACTATGCAGCACGCAGGAGCAATGATTTTGTAAATTATTACCTAACTTGGGAGGGACTGGAGAGCATTATGCTGAGTGAGCTAACTCAGTCCCACAAGGACAAATATTGAATAAGACCATTATTGTAGAATGTGAAAGAGGATCCAAGGTGGGGAGAGGGAAGCAGAGGGCTGAGGATGGATGGCGGGAGGCTTAATCACGGGGTCAATTTGATAGGTGGAGGGAGGGATGGGCAAAGGAAAGGGGAAAGAAAGATCTGGAGTGAAAAACAATGTATATGAACTTTCTAAATAAATGAATATAAAATAAAAATTTTTTAAAAGATATATTCTTTTGGCAGTCTAGGGTATATTCAACACTCTTTGCCAACACAATTTTTTTTTATTCTTGTTCTTTTTAAATTAATTTTAATGAAAAGTTTACAGAGACTTAGGGTTTCCATTCATTCATTGTTGCACTTTTCTCCTTGCCCACCCCCTAACCCCAATTCACTCTTCTCCTTGAAAAGTAAAAGAAAAATCTCTTTCATTGTTATGCAGTCCTTCCCTCCAAGTCCACTCCACCGTACAGCCTTCATTCTGGACTCCAGTCATGACAAGAATACCCAATCATATATCCCTTTTAAATTATCTCCCTCATCTGTTTCAGTGCAGTGCCAACACAGTTTAACAATATCATTCCTTTTCTGTCTTTCCTACTCACTGCCTAACTTCCAGATGCATAGGAAGCAACTGAAAAGACCCTACAGTCTAGACCACCCACTGCCTCTTAGCAAGATATCAGAACGGATCGTTTCCTATAGAACAAAGAAACAAGTAGTGTTTCTCTGTCTCTTCTGCTTATTCTTTGGTCATGATGTTGCTGAGTACAGTGGAGTCAGAACCAACCAGCTAATGCTCCAGCAGGTTTTCAGAGGCAGGAAATTGCACAGGAGATTGCCCCCTTTCTCTCGCGGAGCAGCTAGAGGATTTGAATCTGGAGCTCTTGAGATTGCAGTGCCACTTCTTACAGGTAGGTCACCGGGACTCCCTTTTGGTCGTGTACTGTTCAGAGAAGAGCTGACACCAATTCTACTCAAACTACTTCAGAATATAGAAAAAGATGGAATAATCAAAAAGTCATTTTATGACCAAGTATAACCCTGATGCCAAAGATAGGCAAAAGCAGCACTCAGAAAAGACAATAACAGACCAGCATCACTCATCAACAAAGATGCCAAAATTCTCAACAAAACCCTGTTGTTGTTGTTTTGTACTGTAGAGTCGGAGCTGACCCATAGCTGACTCTCCAGCAGGTTTTCAGAGGCAGTTAATCACATGGGAGGAGATTGCCCATCCTCCTGTGGAGCAGCTGGTGGATTCAAACTGCATGCCTTCAAGATTGCAGTACAGCTTCTTGCCACTAAAGCCCTACTCAACAGACTCTAACATTGTATTTTAAAAACTCATTTCTCATGACCAAATGGGATTTACATCAGATATGAAAAGGTCGGTTCAATATTGGAAAACAATCAGTGTAATTAACCACATAAATAAAACAAAGGAAAAGTGATATCTGATCATCTCAATTGATATAAAAGACGTATGTGACAAAATTCAACACCTTTTCCCAATAAAGCATTCAACAAAATCAGACTAGAGGGGAAATTCCTCAGTATAATTAAAAGCATACATATGAAACTAATGTCCAGTATTACCCTCCATGGAAAGTGAATAGGAACCAGATCAATTTTCCATTTATCATCACTTCTATCCAGTACTGCATTGTAAGTCCTACCAGGAGCAGAAAGGCAAGACAAAGAAATAAAAGGCACCCACAATGGTAAAGAGGAAGAGAAATTATATTTACAGATGATATGATCCTATACTTAGACAAGGCCAAAGGCACAGCAAGACTATTTAAAATTTATCAATTCAGCAAAGTGGCAAAATACAAAAATTCCCATCTTCTACAGAAATACAGAGAGCTCTGAAAAAGAAATAAGAAAAACAATGATATTTAAAAGAATCAACCAAAAGATGAAATACTAAGAATTAATCTAACCTGAGATACAAAAGAACTAAGCAAGGAAATGAAAAAAACACTACTACAAGAAAACTGAAGAGACCTACATAAATGGAAAACCATACCATGCTCGTGCATCGGAAGATTTACCATTGTGAAAATGGTAATTGTATAAAAGGAATCCATAAATACACTGCAATCTCAATCTAGATTAGCACCTTTCAAATAAATTAGGGAAAAGTCACTACCAACTTTCTATGGAAAGAAAAGAAACCTTGAATAAGCACAATGAGACTGAAAAAGAATGCATGAGGTCTCATATTTCTTGACCGCAAAACCTACTAGAATAGGCACAATACTATTACTAGGCGAAAAATCTTAGTCACAAAAAGACAAATACTGCATAGTGCCACTGTTGTAGAACGGGACTGACATCAGGGTTGGGGTAAGACTGAGAAAAATTATGTATACTGCATTGAAACAGATGGGAGAGAGAACAGTTTAAAAGCTATATATGATTGGGTATTTATGGTTATGACAAGAGTTCAGAATGAAGGTTGCATAGTAGACTGTACTAGGGGTGGGGGGATTGTATACCAATGAAGAAATTTTTCTTTTACTTTTCAAAGAGAAGAACAAACTGAGGGGAGGGTTGGGCAGGGAGAAAAATGCAACAATGAATAAATGGAAATCTAAAATATCTGTAAATGTTCATTAAAATTAATAAAGTAAAATTAAAAAAAAAGATATTGGTATTGGTATTGGTACAGTAGCAATCAATGGAACAGAATGGAGAGCCCAGAAAGAAATCCACCCACTACAGACAACCGGTATCAGAGAAGTCAGTTTGATATCAGTTTGAAGACTAAGGTGCACATGATTCAGACCATGGTCTTTTTAATCACTTGCTATGCAGTGAGAGCTAGACAGTAAATAAGGATGACAAAAGAAGAATTGGAGTCTTTGAATACTGAATATCCCATGGACAGGCAGGAGAGCAAACAAATATGTCTTGGATAAAATATAGCCTGAGTGCTCCTTGGAGGCAAAGATGGCACAGCTTCCTTCATCTCTCATCCTCTGGATGTATTAGTAGGGGAGGACATCCCTTGGAAAGCAACTTCATGCTTGGAAAGGTGGAGGATCAGCGAAAGACAAGAAGACCCCCATAAGCTGGATTGACACAGTGACTGAAGCAATGGGCTCAAGTATGTCAGAGATGATGGGAATGGCACGAGATAGGACAGGGTTCAGGTCTGTTGTTCCTAAAGTCACTCTGAGTCATATTCAATTCAACAGCACATAACAACAACAACAAGAACATAGAGAACTGACTTCTCATACAGAGATTAAATGCATTAATCGGGGAAAAGCCAACCTCTTTAACAAATGGTGCTAGCAAAACTAGGTATCTATTTCCAGAAAATTGAAACAAGATTCATACCTCACACCATACACAAAAACTAAGTCACAGTGGATCAAGGACTTAGATGTAAAATAAAACACTATAAAGGTCATTAAAGAAAAAAACTGAGAATGGGGCAAACTATAGAAATAGACTAATCACGTATAACTGAATGTGTACAAGCAACAGAGAATAAAATAGAAGATTGGAATTTCTGAAAATGAAATCCTTATGTGAGCCCTGGTGACAAATCCTCTAGTGAGTTTCACCACTAACCCAAAGGCCACACATTGACAGCAGTTTTAATCCACCAACATCTTTCAGAAGAAAGATAGGCAATCTCCTCCCACACAACATCCTCTCAAACCTAATGGAACACCATCTAAGTCAGTCTTGATTCAGTCATAATGTGTTTGCGTTTTATTTATGGTTGGTTTGCTATTTAGTGCACATCAAAAGACTTCTCCACTTTCTATGAAGATAACACCAGAAATGGAGAAGGAAGTGCCTGTCCCTTCCAAAACTAAAGCCGAAGCAAAGGCATTAAAGGCCAAGAAACAAGAAGGCAGTCCTGAAGGGCATCCACAACCACACAGTCACACACACACAGAAAGAGAGAGAGAGAGGATCTGCACATCACCCACCAAAGGCAGGACAAATACTGCTGGAAGAGTGCCCCGGGAGAAATGAGCTTGACCACTATATCATCATCTAGTTTCTCCTGATCACTGAGCCAGACATGAAGAAGACAGAGGACAACAACACACTTGTGTTCACTAGGGATATCAAGGCCACAAGCACCAAATCAAACAAGCTGTGAAGAAGCTCTATGACATTGATGTGGCCAAGACTGACATGTTGATTAGGCCTAACGGAGAGAAAAAGGCCTATGTTCGTCTGGATCCTGACTGTGATGCTTCGGATGTTGCCAACAAAATTGAGAACATCTAAACTGAGTCCAGCTTGCTAAGTATAAATTATTCTCCCTCTCCCCCTATAAAAGACTTCTCCAGATGAATAAAAAGGGAACATACAGCCTGGGGTGGGGGGGTGGGGAAATTGGCAATGACACATCTGACAAAAGACCAATCTCTAAAATTTCTAGAAAACTTCAACATCTCAATAAGACAAAAGACCCACTTACTAATTGGCAGAGGACACGAATATATCTATCACCAACGAAGAAATCCAAAATGACAAAAAAAAACACAAGACAAAATGCTCGTGATCATTAACTGTTTTTCCCTGTCCTGTGCCATTGTCATGATCTCTGACATGCTCAAGCCTATTGTTAGACTCACTGTGTCAATTTACCTTGTTGAGGGTCTTCCTCTCTTTCTCTGACCTTTCCCAGCACCATCCATTTTTACAAGGACTGACCTGACCTGATCTGACAATATACCCAATGAATGTGAGATGAAGTTTTACCATCTTTGTCTCTAAAGAGTACCTTGGTTGATACACATCAAAACAACAATGAGATACCTTCTCACCCCTGCAACTGAAGCAATGTTCCATAAAACCACAAATAACAAATGTTGGTAAGGGTATAGAGATTGGAACTGTCAAATACTACTACTGGTAATGCAAAATGATGCAACTGCTATTGGAAACTAGTTTGGTTATTTCTTATAAATGTGGCTGTTATTGTTGTTAGGTGCTGTCGAGTCGAGTACAACTCATAGAGACCTTTACCAACCATCAATCTGAACAGTCTCCTATCCTGTGTTCCCCATCCCCCTCACAATCTCTGACACTCTCAAACACATTGCCACAGTCACCATGTCAACCCACCTTAGAAAAGTAAGAATAGAAATATCATTTGATCTAACAATTCAGCTACTTGAATATCTGAAAGAAATATGAGTTGTGGCACAAACTGACATGTACAGATCCATGTTTATTGTAGCATTATTTTCAGTAGTTGAGTTGGAAAATCCAACTGCTTATCTCTCAACAGCCGAATGGCTAAAGAAACTCTTTATGATATAGTCATACAATATTGTATTATGCATCACTGAAAAATAATCAAGAAGTCATGAAATACTGAATAACATGAATGAAACTTGACAAATTATGTCAGTCACAAGATGATAATCATAGTAGTTGTTATGGATCATAGTGTTAAACCAACTCATGGTTGACCCTCCAGGAGGATTTTGGAGGCAGTGTAATCTCACAAAAGGAGACTGCTCATTCTTCTCTCATGGAGTAGCCAGTAGATCTGAATCATGTACCTTTGAGTTATATAAGCCTACTATAAAAAGCTAAGGTTTTCATACCCAGTCAATCTTGGAGAGTTAACAGTGAGGGGAGAAGGAAGAGGGAAAAGAATCTAAAAACAAAATATGTTTACGAAAAAATTGGAATAAAATTCACTAAAGTATTAAATAAATACAAGTGGAAAATTTTTTTTCCAAACAGTGTACAGGAAACTAGCTTATTATATCTATTCATGGAAGAAAATAATTTTTTTCCTTTATTTTCCCTGTCTTTCCCTTCCTCCAGTCCACTCTGCAATGCTCCTCTTATTCTAGGCTGTTGTCATACAGATATTGCCTAATCATATACTTCTTTTAAACAGATCTTTCCTTCATCTGTTCCAATGCAATGTTAATTATCTATTCCCTCTTTTCCTAGTTACCCCTACCCTCACGTCAATCCTGTTTTATAACAATAGGGTTATGCAGGATTTGTCCTTTTGTACTGAGATATTTCACTCAGCATAATGTCATCCAGGATCATCCATGTTGTGTAACGTTTTACAAATTCCTTGCTTTTCAGTACTGTGTAGTACTCCATTGTGAATATACAATAGTTTTCTATCCATTCATTTGTTGATGGGTACTTGGATTGCTTCCATCTCTTTGCTATTGTGAATAATGCAGCAATAAACTTGGTTGTGCAAACATCTGTATGAGTTGTAGCTCTGGTTCTTTAGGGTATTTTACCAGTAGTGGAATTGCTGGGTCAAATGTTATTTCTATTTCCAACTTTTTGAGAAAGCATCAGTCTGCCTTCCATAGAGATTGCACCTTTTTTACAATCCCACCAGAAGTAAATAAAAGTTCCAATCTCTGCTCCATTGAACTTTGCTATTATTGCTGGGATAAGATGATATCTCAGTTGTTTTAAGGAAAATATTTTCTAACAAAGGCCAAGCAATAAATCCTATATATGATTTAAAGGTCACTTAGTTTTATTAAGTCAGCAAATCAGGGGAAGACTTAAAATAAAAAGAAACCTATGATATTTCACATCTACTTTCTTGTTTTACTTGTTGTTGTCATTCCCAGGGTTAGATTTGTGGATAGAACTGCTATGTATGGAGAGTCCACCCATAAACCATCCTGCTTTCCACTTCGTATTGAAGTAGGTAATCAATGTACCTATCCTAATTTAGTGAGCAATGGTGACTTAGAGGTAAGGAATTGCTCTGCCAACCCAAAGATCTGCAGGATATTATACAGATAGTAGGGCCATAACCTTCAATTTGAATCCTTGTTGTTTCATTAGTTCACTATACACTCTTCACATTTATGGCAAGTATGTGAAAATTGTGTATATATATTTTTATGTGTATTTATGTTTTGTTTGAAATATTTACTATTGCTCTAAAATTTGGGAGAGCTTACATCTTCCTTCGAAGTTATGATAAGCCATCTTGCCAAAATGCACATATACCACAGGTATAATGTATACACATACAAGTTCAGGAAGTTCACAAAATCCCTCTTGTCATCATGGATATGGATGTCCATGTCCTTTGTTTCAAAGTTAACAATTCTCATTCAAAAAACATAGTAGAAATCAAATGACACATAAAAAGATACATGCAGTCATACCTGCCAAGCTGAATCTGCAGAGTAGAGGGAATAGCCACAGTGCTACAGACCACATCATCCTCACGTTACTGCAGGTAGGCTGGGGAGAGACCCAAAACTGTCATTAATCAAAACCCATTTGTTTCCTGTCTCTTGAAAGAACTCTATTTCCAGTTATATTGCACAGACTCTAGTGTTTATGGAAAAAAGGTTTCTTGTTTAATTGCTTGACTATCGTCGCATAGATCCTTCAATGATTACTCTATCAACTTCAGTCAATGTTTTCCCTCCCTATTCTTTTTTTGCATTTTTTATTGGTTTACAAAGATCATATACACTGTGTTTCATTCATGTATATTGTGTTTCACACATTCCTTCATTTGCAGGTGTTTCAGACAATCATTCCCATACACTGCATTTTATAAAATTACTCATCATAGATATACTCCAACTATTACTCCATCTTTTCATGACTATAATATGGAAGAAGCTAAAGAGCATTATGCTGAGTGAACTAACTCAGTTTCATAAATACTAATACTGCATAAAACCATTATTCTCAAAACAGAAGGTTAACTAGTAAGATGTGGATAAAAGTCCAAAGAGGGTAGGGAAAAGGGAGGGGGGGTAGGATGGTTAAGGGTGAGGAAGGGAGAATTATGGGGTCCCAGTCAATGTTTTCAAAATATGTAATGAGAATGATTTTTTTCCCTTTCATCTATTATCCACTCAACTGTGTAATAAGAAAGTATACCAGCTGTCAGTAGTATTTACCATGAGAAAAAGAGTTGCAAGTCTGTGTGGAGCTGAGGTTCTCTGTTCTCCACCGTGATTCTCAAGCTAGTCAGTCAAATGGAATAACTCAGTTTTCCAAATCCACCATGTTATTTCTCATCTTGTCTTTTGCAGTTCCCTCTGCTAGAATGTCTTCTCTCCTATTTTTGTCTGATTAATCTGTCTTTCAAGACTCATCTACGGAGACTCATCTAAAGAGACTATGCTTTTCTGAGAGGATGGAGTTGACCAGTCCATCAGTTTCTTCCTTGTGTCCCCTACAATTACACATTGCTTTACTTCCACTCTAGTGCCTGCCACATACGATGGCATCTTGCTATATGCAGGAAACTCTTTGAAACTGGGGCCTTTCTGAAGTCTCAGCATTTAAGGTACATGGTTGTTGATGTGTCTTATCAAGTCATTTCTGACTTATAGTTGTTTCTTACTCAATAGGACAGAGTAGAACTGACCCATTGGATTTCCTAGTCTGAAATCTTCACAGAAGGAGCCCACCAGATCTTCTCTTCTACAGAGTGGTTGGTGGGTTCAAACTGTCAACCTTTTGGTTAGCAAGTCAAGCATTTAACCATTGTGCTGCCAGTACTCCTTATTGTTGTTGTTGTTGTTGTTATGTGCCGTTGAGTCGCCTGCGACTCATAGCGACCCTATGTACAACAGCCCTAAACTCCGCTCTGTCCTGTGCCAATCACACTGTCTCTGACACTCCCAT